CTGCTCGGTACTTGGGGAAACTGCAGAGTTTCAGAGGCCGTCTGCTTCTAGAAAGGGAAGGGTGCTACTGCCCGAGAAGAGTTGGAGGCTTCGGACTTCTGGGCTTTCATTGGCTTTTAATTGGCTTTTGGGTACTTGGGTGTCAAGGCTGTTTTAGTTTTACGGGATTCTTTGACAGATGGGCAGGGATGCAAGCTAGTACAATGAGTCTGATGGCGTCGTCATTTATTTACCGATCGCAAGAACTGGGAAAATTGCAGGCCGGCGATAGACAGCTTAAGATGACAAGAGCCTTCGTAGCGCCAGACTGCATCTGAACCATCCTTGACAAACAGACCTCGGCCAATCTGAGGATTTCAGGGGTGCCAGTCTGGCTTAGAACAAATTTAGGGGTACAGCCTGCGGGGCCTGCAGCCACAGACTGGACACAGAATACAAGGGAGCAGCATATCTTGAATGACACCTTGTGCCTTACCAAGAATCCCGCAGCTAGCTCTTGTTCGGAACTGCATTACAACCTATATTGGAAGCTTCCAACTTCAGACTACTAAGAATCCATCTGCCGATGTCGCCCCAACACGGATCATGCTATGGCCCAGATCCCTCCGCGAAGCCACACAAAGAGGGAAGCCCTGAAATCACGAAGTCCCACAAGAAGCGTGCGAGGGCGCTGGCTTGAGGATAACGGGAAGTATAAAGAGAACCACGCAAGCCCATGCTTACTCCAGGCCTTCGAATAAGCCTTTATGATCCCAGACACAGGTTTCACTTTCCTTGCACTCGGGAATCTTCTCGAAGGCCTGCGTGGAGGCTTCGGGACCCAGACCCCCTTGTGCTGCACTGAACTGCCCGTCTGGCTCTGCTTGCCTTGAAAACTGTCCTGTCCACTGAGGAAACAAATGGGAAACAAGAACCTTTGGTTGCTGGAAGGGGAAGGCCTGCTTGCCACAGGACCCTATGCAGCCGAGTCGAAGCCTAAGCAGCCTAACCCTTCTTTAGCCTTCCCCCCCCCCCCCCTAACCCTCCGCGGTACAGGTTTGCCGTCGGTCATCTACGTGTTGGCAAGCAGGCTTCGGCACCCGAAAAGGAACCCGGTCAAGCAACTCTAGACTTGTGCGTTTGCTTAAACCGTTGGGCTCCTCGATTCAAATGTCTTCGTAGAGTAAGAGAAGATGAAGTGACACATGAATAAGAGAAGGCAAGCCGTACTCAGCAGAGGGCAAAAAAGGTGGAGTCCAAAAACCCAGCATAAAAAACAGCAAAGCCGAAGAGGCAGAACCCAAGGGTTTAGGGTTTAGGGTTTAGGGTTTAGGGTTTAGGGTTTAGGGTTTAGGGTTTAGGGTTTAGGGTTTAGGGTTTAGGGTAAGGACCTAAGGAGTCCTTGAGGAGAAAGCAGGAGGCATCCGAGACACCCGACGGAGACGGAGAGAAGGCCACGAAAGTAAAAAACGGAGAGACAGGGGGGGGGTTGGGGAAATTGGGGGGAGGGGGGGGATGAGGTGGGGAGTGGGTGGGGAGGAAGAAAGGAGGGGTTGGGGGGGGGGGGGGAGGGGGGTGTGTGACGGGGAGGGGGGGGGAGGGGGGGGGGACAGGGGGGAAGAGGCAGCCGAAGCTGAAGAAGGATGCCGAGAAGGGTGAGACAAAGTCGAAGACCGACGAGTTGGCTGCCTGGGCAGAGGAACCAAAGGATGCAGAAGAGGGCGAAAGAGGGTGACGACTCCGACAGCAAGAACAAGTACCGGTTCCTGGCGTGCAACAAGAAGACCAACCTTGTGCCGCTTCCCTTCCTGGAGTTTCTGGAGAAAGAGCGACAAGAGAAACAAAGGTGAGGCCGTTGCCAAGTGCAGTCGGAAGAAAGCCAATGGCCACTTTGACTTCTACCCGGAGACGAGCCTTCATCGAAAAGCAATACAGTAGTCAGAGGTGATATGCCGTCAACAGTCATAAGTAATGCATGTTGCAGTGTAAAATCTGCACTGCTTGGAAGCTTGAAGACTTTGAAGAGGGACCATGCTTCAAATATAGAGAATCTACAAATACTCACAAACACAGCCCCTGGAACTGGACTCACAAGTTGTTGTGATGTGGGTGTCCATGCCTTGCCCTGCTTCTGTGTGCAGTGGGGCACAGGCGGCGTGCCGCATCGCGACAAAAAGAAGCATTCTCTGTCGCCTCCATCACTTGACAAGCAAATGACGCAATCTCACAATGAACTGTTGCGATAAGCAGTCATTTTGCCACCAACGTGCTGCGGCACATGAAGCTCCAAATACTTGCAAATACTGCAACAACTGCCATTACTGCAAACTCAGAACACGGAAGCCAAACAAACACAGAATCCAATACAACCTCATCATGAAGGCCAACAGGAAATGAAGCACCCAGGGAAAAAATGCCGAGGTTCTGAAGGAGTAGATCCCGCAGGATGGCTTGGCCCTGCAATCCGCACGGCATTGGCCCTCATCTTTTGCATCTTGCCTCAGTTTTGCTGGACCCTCTTAGGCCCCTGTTTCAAAAAACGTCTTAGCGCAGCATAACCCGCTGCTTCATCTACTGTCACCCGCCTGGCCGATCGAGCTTGAGTTTGGCGTTTAGGCTGAGGGCTTGAATTGAAAGCGCGCAGGTTGAACCCCAGACTGCAGCAACCAAAAAGATTACTTGCGGTCCCCCTCGTAGGCTCCAGCACTCAACACAACACACAGTTCTGGGCTTGCCAGGGTTTCATAACGTCTTAGACTCTGGATACTATGCTAGACCAGACCATCGCCAACCATATACTATATGGCACGAGACTAAACTGCACTGAGCATCATCATGAACATCGCATCATGGTGTGATGTTAAGGGAGCACATTGTGGAGATGGGGTTAGGGACGGTTAGGGCTCTGGGGGTTTCGGGATTCAGGCTCCCAGATGTCTGAGAGCTCCATCTTTGGGGTCGAGTTTTGTGTTCAGCCGTCTAGGTTTCGCCAGGACCTTATGGGCCCAGCCCTGTTATATTGCCTTATCTCTTGCCAAACTGCAGCCTACCCTAATCTGCCCTGTTATCGCCGACCTTGCCCCGTGAAGCCTCCCCGTGCACACTTCCAGGTGGGGTCAAGTGGGTGAGAAGTCCTAGGCACAACCCCCAAAAAACTTGCACCACCCTCAACCCAACCCTTAAGAACACCACCCCAAATCCCGCAATCAAACCCCACCCTGAACCTGACCCCGTTAACGAGACGGAGTTGCGATCTTAAGGTTATGAGTTAAGGCTGCGGATCTCCTGCGAGCTACTTGCCACTTGGCTACTTCTCATAGATCCAAGTCTGCTCGGGCAACTCTTTCCAACATGTGCTGTCCAAGACCTGGCGCCACTCCACTTGGAACGGTGTGGCTTAATTCGGGGGGGGGGGGGGTTCTCGTGCAGATATCCCGGATTGCAAAACTGCACATGTGGAGACACGTCTCGCTCGGCAAAAACACCACTTTCAGCAACAGGGCCAACGAACCCGTATGAAACCTTGCCTTCCTGTTTTGCTCAGGATTGCATGGGCCATTCCCGTTTTTGTGGTATACACAAGGCACACAAAGCAAATCTCAAGCAAAACTTGCCAGGATGTTCAGGTTCCAGATATGGTAGTTTAGCAGCGAAGAGTTTGCTAACTTTTCGCTCTGGTCCAAAGCAAAGTGGTGTTTAATTTTGAAGGCTCCAATACAGGTCCCATACCTCTTCAAAAACAATCATGCTTGCGACATCGGGCTCTTTGATCTTGTGAAAGGAGCCGCCCAGCAAGAACCGAACAACGAAAGCATTGAAATCTTTTATGTTATGCTCCATCCACTATTGAAAATTCGCTGAGGAATCTGAGGCACGGTGATGAGCACGTAGCCCTTCGCACGAGGCACAGTGAAGCCCGCTAGCCACTCGAAGTGACCATAAACCTGAGAGCTGCGTCCTAAACCATGGGGCAGGTAGAACGGTGGTGGCGAGTAGGAGTAGGAGTAGGAGTAGGAGTAAGAGTAGGAGTAGGAGTAGGAGTAGGAGTAGGAGTAGGAGTAGGAGTAGGAGTAGGAGTAGTAGTAGTAGTAGTAGTAGTAGTAGTAGCAGTAGCAGTAGCAGTAGCAGGAGGAGTAGGAGTAGTAGGAGTAGTAGGAGTAGTAGTAGGAGTAGTAGTAGTAGTAGGAGTAGTAGGAGTAGTAGTAGAAGAAGTAGTAGTGGTAGTGGTAGTGGTAGTGGTAGTGGTATTGGTAGTGGTATTGGTAGTGGTAGTCTACTACACCAGTGACTACACCATTAACTACACCATTCTACCATGCTGAAGTCCTAAGTCAACTTTTCCAGAAGTGACTGAGAGACCGTGCAGCCCAGTCGAGCCGATGATCGCCCAGCTGTCGGGAGACCATCGAAAACCTGAAAGGGAAGTCTTCAGATCTTCAGCTCCCACTCCAAGGATTAAACAAAATTCAGCAAAAAGGATCTATACCAAACAAAAGCCTCGCATGAACCTTCAGCAAACTGCCCAAACTACTTACCTATGACACTGTCCGCACGGGTGGCTCTAGGTTCAGGGGTCATCTGCCACAAATCACGCAGGGATGTAGGTAAGTAATGAGGGAACACGGGGTATGACTCAGGGACCTGGGGGGACGTGGTACCCACAACTGTTGGGAGAACCGTAGTTGGGCCTTCGTCAGGTTGCTGTCAGCCGCGAGAGCCAGGGCGCCGGTGCGCACGTTTAACGACAGCCTCTGGCCCCAACTACCCGGAGAAATCCCACAGGGCGTACAATAAAAATAGTCTTGTATACTGTTAGCAAGTTTCAAAAAGCTTTTTGGACTAAGGGATATTCCGAAGTCTGGAGCCTCAAAGGAAGATCTGCCCTGTACCTGTGTGCTGAAACCTTGACTGTGAACTATGTCGTGACCAAGCAAAGCGAGGACATCCATCATCCAGGCAAGCATCTGGTTTAGGGTTTAGGGTTTAGGGTTTGGGGTTTGGGGTTTGGGGAAAGAAAACTGCTACTGTTGAAGCCATGGGGACACGCCATATCCATTCAAGCTCCCAAACCCCGTCAACTCGTCGAACTCGAACTGAACGGCGTCGGGCACCTTGCAAGGTCGCAGGCTGGAGAGCGAAAAGGGCTCTAAGGTACTGTTCAAGTTTCCGTACCCGAGATTGTTTTGATGGCTTTGCGGGGGTGCTGCTCATCTGGACTTGGGCACGCCGACCCTCTGGAGAGGAATGCGTGCCAAATTTGCGTGGGGGTTCTGCAAGTTGGAATATGCCCCTATGTTTCGAAGGTGGCATCTAATTAGGGTTCAACATTGCAGGCCCGTGACATTCCTGAAACGAATTTCCACATCTAAGCGGGTTCCTGGATTAGTGTTCGGTTTGGGAGTTGTTTGGGAGTTCTTTTACGTATTGTGACAAGAGTAGTGACCCCCGTAACCTCCATGCACTCCATAGAAAAGCGCGTGGGGCTCACGCGGGCTCCATCCCCAGCATACGCGAGCAGCGGCAGAGCCGACTCGCCCACAGTGATCCGAAGGTTCGATTCCTAGGAGAACTATATCACTGATAAAACAAGCACAGCTTCATATGAATCGCAGCGCAGGCAACTTAAGCACACATCTCCATTCATCAAATTCAAGTGGAAGGAACACGACCCCTATACTGTAACAAGCATCTAGGCGGGAGAAGTAAAAGAATGGACTCGTCCCCAGTATCTGCACGCAGCGACAGCCCAGGCTTCTGTACTCCTCACTTCCTGATAAGTCCCGTGCAATCGAGCATTTCCTACGCATTCGGTCTTCTAGGTCTCTCGACCCACCTAGAAACTAACAGCGCCCGGCTTCGGGAAAGTGGATGGAGGACCACATCCATGGTGCTAGGATGATAACCTCGGAACAAAGCAAAAAGTACACATCACTAGCCTCTGATCTGACTGCGCACTCGGAGCACACTGATCGCTTCTCCAAGCCCTTCTTTTAACAAAGCAAAATGCGATTTCATCGGCACAGCGGCGGACGTCTGCGTTGACGAATTCGTGTCGACCACAGAGCAAAGCCCACCCACCGAGTCCTCAAGACCAGGCAGCGGCAGCGAAGTCAGGCCGGAGGCCTCAAAGGGCAAAAGCAGTCACTTTCATCGTATAATGGTACAATCGCAAATAGCATATGAATATAAGCATAGAATAATGGAAGAATAGAGTACTGGAATAATGGAAGAGAATAGAACAATGGAACAATAGAATAAACAAATAGTCGAATAATCGAATAACATAACAATAAAACAACAGACTAATATAACATATGATCATCAAAATACTGTACTACTATGCATAGACAAAGGCAAGTTTCAAATAGCATGTGTGTGCAGGTGTCACCTAAGTGTCCACAGTACTGTGGCGTACTGTGGCTATGGCTGTATAACTTCCTTTGCCGGGGTACGAGGATGAAACTACCCAAAGGTCTTTTCTTGCAAATCGTATGTAGGAACTGAAGGGGTAGAAATCGTTTTAGAACTACGTCCTGCAAAGCAGGTTGGCGTAATTAGCTTGCTGGTTCTGAAAAGGGAATGAGGGAATTAGGGTCCCTATGTAATCCCTTAGAGGGTTCTATATGGGCATATATGGTATCTAATTCCCCCATTCCCTACTAAAAACCAGTAAGTCAACGGTGTGGTGAGTCAATAGTGAAGGGCTTCGATTTCGGGTTTTAGTGGCAGATCTGAGATGAGACAGTCCTGTTCGGAAATGTGGGCGTTCACCGTGATGGTGCCGTTGGACGAGGAAATCCCCACCCATGGCATGATACCATCCTTACTTCCACATCAGGAGGAACCCAGTTTGATGGGTATGAACAAATATCGCACAAGCAAACGAAAAAGCTTGCTGAGGCTGAACTTTGAACGATGAGAAAAGCATCCGGGAGGCAGGTAATGCCAAACTTGTGTTCGGCAAAAACCGTGCGAGGGGTGAAACTGTGGGCGGTGTTGGGCGTCACAATGAGGACCTTAAATCGAACGCTTCTCGGCTCTGGGTTTAGGGCTTTGGCGCTTTGGGTTCGGTAGGGGCTTAACGCGGGAGCGTACTTGAGGGAGTATGAAGTATACGCTGAGAGTTTGGAAATGTTATTGAATGTTGCTGAATTCTTTGCTTCACCTTTCGCCAAGAAACTGGGCTGTCGTAAACCATCGAGGGGTCTGCAATGACTGACATCTCGGCTGAGGCATTCAGGCCATGCTCCTGATGAGCGGTAATGGTGCAGCTCACCTTTGCAGCGGCAAGAAGATGCTGCGGAGAGCACAGACCGAAGTCATGATGGCGTGTTTCAGGGCATCTTCTCCTTTTTTTGGAGTCATAGTTCAATAGTTCAGGATCCACTGTTGACGTTCACCGTGTCAGGCGCTGGGCCTCCCTGAATCCCAAGACTTGAGAAACCCCACCAAAGCCCTACAAAAGCCCCCAGAACAGCCCCAGTAAATGCCCCAAGAAAGAAGCCAAAGGCCACACTGCTATACACTCTGGAGAACGAAAGGGCCCTCGAGACCATCCTCCAGCTTCCTAGCGAAGAAGGGCAATTCTACACATGGAAATCATGGGAAGCACGACCCTTGGGACCATTTCAACGAAACCAGCCCAGCATTGATATGAGGTGAGGTTCAGGTGCTGATCAAACCACAATCCCCCCCCCCCCCCCCCCCGCACACACACACACTATGATATTTTTCAAAAAAGCATCCCTAATTCTGATGACAGGCACCTGGAAGGCTTGACGAACAGCTCCTGCATCCAAGGGGGGCGATGTCCTACTTGTGCATGGACCCACCGCAGTCGATCAATAGGACGATTTGAGGCAAGACAAAGGACTGAAGGAGCCCACAGAGCCGGCAAATGCGAACTGCGTGGGAGGAAGGGTTCCCAGAGTTGGGTGTAGCAAGGGATGAATTGGTGGCTTAAAGCTCAGCATTGAAGATCTTGGGCTGTTGCATGACCATTAAGATAGGCCGTTGCGTAGACGCCATATTGCTTTGCAGCATCCCGGCATTGTGTTGCGAGGTGCAAGGTTGCAAATCGAGCTTCTCAAGCTCAGCTCGGCCCTAGATTCCACATCCTGAAGCCATGCTTGACTCCGTATACCGTACATCCCGAGGATCCCCACTGACGGCCAACGAAAACTGGCGAGAACCCTGCCTATACTATCTCATGATGCAACCTATGCACGGTAGCTATTCAGGCTGCCCATCGACTTGCGAACGATAGGGCAGCATACCACGGGTATACTGGTGCTGCTGCTGGTTGCGGTTCTTTGCTTGAAGGTGTCTCAGGGCCCTAACTGGAAACAAGGGAGGGGGGGGGGGGCGCTAGGTTTTGCCTGTGCGCCGGCGGTTTCGATTCGGGCCGCCTCCGCAACCGACGACGCCGCAACCGTCTCGCAGCTTCAACCTCCCAGTTTCACCGTCCAGAGTGAGGTTGTAGGTAGCAAGCCTGAGGAGCTTCGGACAGGGGCCAAGCACACCAGGTACCCCGCTTGAGGCTGAGCATCTCACTTCGGGGTTTAGGGTTGCAGAGCTGTGGTTTAAGGTTTTTTAGGGTGCAAGGTTTGAGGGCTTAGGGTTTCTCATGTCAGAGACCAGTTGTGACAGCGGTAAGCTCCATGTCGAAGCCTCGTACTCTGCCTAGAACCGCAAGGGCCAAACCCTCCAAACCACATCCGTGTCCTAGCCCGAAAGCCCTAAGTTGGGCCCGAAGTTATCTCCAAACACCAAGACCGAAGCCGTAGGACCGTAAAACCTGCATCCCTGAAACCCACAAACCGCGTCTTCAACAACGATTCAAGTTCATCCTGAGTATACTCAGGATTTAGGGTTCAGGATCCGATGATTCGGGGGCTCCGGCGCGGGTCCAGGCAGCATGTGAAGCGCAACCTCGAGTTGGGCCTTCATTGCTAGCACAGATTTCTTCGGGAGGCCCAAACACGTGTGGATCCTTCGTCTCCTAGAAAAAGGTAAAGGAATGAACTCTCCTTTATCGATTCCTCGGGCCCTAGGGTTCAGCTGGAAGTTCACCTGAATCCTATTTGACTTAGCAGCCGTAGCTTTTGCTATTCAAACTATTGACATTTGGAAATCATGAAATAATAAAATGTACGTTCCGGAACCCAGCAACCACAACACCAAACCTGAAGGTCCTCATGGGAACTCTAGTGACTCTAGTGTGCAAAACACAAATCCTCGTCGAAACTGTACAACTCCTTCAAGCTGGCCCTGAGCTTTCATGTGTGGATATGTTGGCCCGTTCCCATATGACTCGAAGCTCAGTTGCTGGCAGTCCTTGTTCACAGAATAGCGAGCTGCCGTCCTTCTTTAAAGAGGCATCTATACGGTACATCAGGGAGCTACATCAACCCCTACCAGGCCCTACCAGCAAACTTGACTCTTGGCTCAGTGCCTCGATCCGAGGTTGCTTTGAGGTTCGGTTTAACCCTTTCAAACCCTAAACCCTAAATCAAACCGAAGCATGCTTACTGAGACCTGTCTGTCTTGAGGGTTGTTTACAAAGTGCACATCATGCGCGTTGAACTGGCTGAGCTGGGCGGGTTTTGGGGGCTTCAGGTGTTCCCATCCCACATTCCACTCCCTTCCTCTCCGTTTCCCTGGTCTGTGGCTGTGCTGTGCCGATGACATGCGTGCCCGTCCCCACGTGTGCGGCCTTGCACCGTATGCCGTGTCATGCCTTCGGGCACGCCTTTGTGCGCTTTCGGGCATGTTCCTTGCATTGTAGTAGCTGGAACGCTTAAAAAGATCGTCGCTGATCATTGTCAGGCTTTGACTCCCACGCACAAGGAGCAAAGGAGCATCTTAAGAGTCTGACAATCGTTGTGGCCTTTCTCCTGCCGGTGCAGGTGTGCATTTTGGTCAAAACCTCCCAGATCCGCCCAGCTCATCGGTCTTGTATCCGGGCTGGTGTCCACGGCTTAGTGCCAATGGTGAGGAGTCAAAAAGGAAACGCGTCTGTTGAAGAGAAATGGGATATCTTGCCAAGTAGCTGCATTCAAGCAACGCCTATCAGATTGCAGAGGGGGAAGCAAACTCACAAAGGGTTGTGTGGCAGCTCAAACTGCTTCGATTGAGGGCCCTGCGATGATGTGAACAGAAAGGAAACTGGAGAGCACGGCGCGAACACATGTAACAAAGCAATGCAACTCCACTGGACTCCACCCTACATGATGCGCTTGAAGCAGCAATAGTAGGTGCTAATTTCAAGAACAAAGATACAGCTGATGGAGTAGGTGGTGCAAACAAGCACAATGCACGAGTCCACAGAGTGGGTATACTATACACGGCTCTGACAAGGCTCTGCATTGCATGAAATCAGCGCTGAAGATTCGACCAGTATGTGGTGATTAGGGCTTAGGGCTTAGGGCTTAGGGTTAGGGCTTAGGGCTTAGGGTTTAGGGTTTAGTCAAGGGAGGATGTCCTCCAAGAATTGAACTGGAACGCACAGCACGATAGGCGGGCATGTGTAACGCAAAGCCTCTCGGCTCGGGAACCGAAAAGCAATGGATAGTAAATGGGGCATTTCTACTATTGGAAATTCGAATCTGCTACTGAATACAACGATTACAGAAACTTGCACAGCGAAAGAAACTTTGGGCGACATGAATAATAAGGGCGTGTCAGGACTGAGCATACATTGCACAATGAGGCGAAGCTGCGAAACGGTCCAAGATCATTTGACAGTATTGCTGCTTGCGGAGGCGGTCCAGCATTCTGAGTAGGCTTCGAATCGGCAGCAAAATATTTTTGATTCAAGATGCATCTTGTGCTATATAGACAACCCTTGAAAGTGTGATTTGTGTCAGCGACTTCTAGCCACATAGACGAACATATGAAAATCACTACTACTCCAAGAATCCAAGTATGAGCCCAGAGGCATCGAGAAGGGGCCCCCTCTCCCACCCCCACTCCTTGAACTTGCGTTGTAAACTTTTGTAAACTCTGCACCCTGATGCGCATGAAAAATCTTCAGGACAGGAAGGGCGAAGGAAGGGCGAAGATGCTGTTGTCCTTGGCAAGGGCCAGCCAAGCACAGAGCTCTCGCCAAACAACATGGGCTGGGAGTAGTACGCGAAAGGGGTGGCCTGGTGAGGTAGCAAAAGCCACGAACGCAGAGGTGCGGGAGGGTGTGGCACAGCTTGCCGATCCCATAAGCATCCATGCTTGGGTCTTCGACGTTGACGGGCCCTATTACATTTCCTTCTAGTACGTACACGGACACTTACATAGGGGTCGCTGTATCCATCTCAAAAAATGCTGTGGAACTTGGGCGCTGAGGACAGTACCAGAACATGCATGCTAGGCCATATACACTTAGCTGCTGTGAGGTGAAACAACGAAGGCCAAGGCGACAGAACCTGCCCCCCCTGAAGGCCTGGCGCAGACCCCCGCCGCACTTGCAACAGGCAGTATTGGAGGAAATGCCATGGAAGCGAGTTTCGCTGCATCTCTTCCTGGGTTCAGGGTTTATAGGGGGTTTAGGGCTTGGCAGCTGGATTGGATCACAGCGCTAGCATAAGGGATTTGGGGGCTGACTTCGGAACGGGGCGGCGGGGGCGAGGGCGGGGGGGGGGGGGGAGTTGTAGATGTTCACATATGACAGCTCCAAGTTCGTAAAGCTCGTCGCGACCGCAAAGCAGTTGTCACCATCCTCAGCATCGCCACAGTCTTATAAACAAAACCTTGCACGCACACAAGTATACACGCGAGTGGTTGATGATGGATGCTGTGCTTATTCGAATTCAAACCTCGCTCTTCTCTGGGTTTGCTTTCTGGTTCGGATGGAGACTAGCGGACAAGGAGCCACCATGAAAAAATGAGTTCTCCCTTGTTCGAAAGCCCGCTTCACAGCAGCCTGCCCACAGAAATTGGGCATCATGATATGAAGAAGGGTATATACTTCAAGTACCCCCAAAAGGACACCAAACATATACACTCACCAATATTAAAAAGGAACCTTATATACACTCACCAAAAACAGAAATATATACCCTGCTTCATATGTTCCTGAACCTAGCGTCAGCATCCATCCATCCAGGCATGTCCATGCAAGCAGTGCAGCGGCCATGTTCCAGGACATAACCACCCAGACACCTCTGGCAACCATTCTTATCGGTATTGGGCTCTGCGCAACCTGCGCACCAAATTTCACCCGCAGGGCAGCACCAGACTTCACAGCCAACGCCCTTGGCTTGTGTATGAAGGACCAAAGAAAAACCAACAACAAAAACAAATCTTACAGCCTTAGAGTGAAAGCCCAGAAGCCCAAAGAGGAGTGCCCCGACCATCGCTGCAGAGATCTGCTTCCACCAATTGTTGCTTCACTTGCCGCTTGCGGCCAAGCGCCTGATTCCGGAGATTTTCCCCTGTGCAAAGCTCGAAAAGGGAACTCTGGCTCTGTCCTCAGGGGATGCCCACAGGTACAGTTCAAGTTTGCAGGTGCAGCGGGACTCTTGCAACCGGACGGCATGCCTTCATGGTTGAGAACGATGCCCAGACTGATGTGCAGCAGATCGAAAGAACAGAAACCTTGCTAAGCCTTGCTATGCCCAATCAAAACTGTACGTTGTCGCTGCGTCCTTGCAAACTCTTACCACTCTCGCTCGCCAATGCTGACTTGGTTGATGGCTTGTTCACAGCCTCAACCAACCAGAGCAGAAGTAGCAGCCCCACAGTGGCTTGCATCGCCCGAACTACTCGACCGCCGCTTTGGGTGGCCACCAACAAATCAAAACCAGAGCTTCTTTGAGCCTCGGCCTGATGATAATCTGATGGTTTCCAAGCATGATTTATCCCGGGGCATAGCTGGCATGATACGTGGTCAAGCACGAAGCACTTGCAGCGAACACGACGTGAGCAAACACTGCGAACAGTGTATCGGTTCAGCGTCAAGCGCCTGCATGTAGCAACACCGCAGCAAGAAGCGCTGCAAATATTTTGGGATGCCAAAGCCTCTGAATGCCTCTGTTGTGAGATGACACGTTCTTATAGGCTTGGCAGCATGATGTCGCTGTCAAGCTCATGCACGAGATCCGCTGTTCTCTCAGCGGCGTTTCAAGCCCTAGGCCTTTCAGGCTTCACAGACCAATGAACCGAATTAAACGAAACGCACAACTGCAAACTACAACACCTCCTTTAGTTCAGCGACTTCGGTTTACGTTCATGCTCTCTTCGCGGAAGAAAACAGCAGACACAATGAAGAGGAAAGGCAAGTAAACAAGAGTCATTAGCGACAAAACATGATCAGCTGGAACTGTGGGAATCTAGGAATCTACATCAAGATGAGCGACCTGCTCTTCTCTGTGTGCAGTTTCAAGTCTTCAAGAAGGCTGGGGCAAGTTTGGCCCCGACAGCAAAGTCGATCTTCACGAAGTCCCCCACAACCTGCCCACTGGTGGGCTTCCACCCGAAAAAAAGAAACTCCATCAGCACTTTGTAGCCCGCGGGACCGTGAGTCAAGGATGGGTCAGCAGAGACTTGGACACAGTGCCCACCACTGAGAGAAGTGACGAGGCTGCTGTTGGGGAAGTTCAGCTGGAACTGCTGCGCATTGTTCATGCCGGTGCGCTGGTCGTAGAGGGGGTTGACGGCCACGGCGTTCACACTGGGATGCGAGAAGCCAATGGGTGTTGGGAGCTGGGGCCAGCCATAGGCCGCTTGTGCATAACTGAGGTACATACGCAGACTCGGTGCGAAGGCCCTGTCTGCAGCGAAGCTGGAGATCTCCTTGGCAACCTGGTTGAGCTGCCACTTGCCAGTCATGTCTAAGGCTGGAATCAAAAAGAAAATGGCGAGGTCTCCGAAGCCTGAGTCCGGTGGGTCATCCCTTGCGAATTTGCAAGGGTTTTGCAACATCAGGTAAACAGTGGCAGGGAGCATCAGGAAGCCAACTGGCCAGGTCTCGTCCTGGTATATAGGACGCCACGTGGCTGGAGGAAGATTTGTGAGAAACATAGCAAGAAAGCTTGTGAGCTGGTAAGTGGTCAGGCCCTTGCCTGGGCAATTAAGGCCGTACCAGCTCCCACCATCTGCAGAGCGCTTGAAGAGCTCGTTAACGGCCTCATTGATGTCACCCTCGAAGTATCTTCCGGGAGGGGTCACCAGGTTCTTGTCTGTCTTGTTGAAAGGATTATGCCGGCACTCAAGGCTCTCGGCACACTGGCTTTGGATGAAGCCCAGAACCTGGGCCGTGTTGGCAGCCGATCCCCGGGCCATTTCCAGCAGGTCGGGCTGTGGTGCCTCCACGCCGGTAACTGCAACTCGCTGTATGGCTCCAGGAAACTGCGACGCATAGGCCGCGGCAAAGCGCGTGCCGTAACTAAAGCCCAGCACAGAGATGGCAGGGCTGCCCAAAGCCCACCGCAGCCACTCGACATCATGTGCAAGGGCCTGTGTGCCCATGTACTGCAAAAGGTTGTAGCTGCCACCATCTCCGTCTCCACGATCGAACTTGGCAGAGCATGGGCTCGTCCACCGAGCCTTGCCGTTGAGGTAGTTTTTCACCTCGTCGTGATTGGCGTAGTCTGTTGGGAGGAGCCAAGAGTTCTTGGCCTTGGCAGCCAGGTCCGCACACGGTGCTTCGTGTGTGACGTTGTTTACGTCATTGACACTCCCAACTGCCAGCATCCCTACCCTGCCGACGCTGTTCCACACAGAATTCGGTAAGGCCAGATACGCGGCGAACTCATCAAAGGACTCAGGAGTGGTGAAGTTCTCCAGCAATCCGGCATATGACAAGCCCATGCCGCGTTGGTCCACGGAAACCAGATCATAGTGCTGCAGCTCCTCAAGGTAGTCCACAAAGCTGCCAGGGCCAGAATCATCAATGTGTGCCATAGGGCCGCCTTGGTGAACCATGATCATGCCCTTGGGAGCAGGCTGGATCCTTGCCTGGTAGATTGTGAACCAGGTGTTGTAGATGGCGGTGCGCTGTGGGGTCGAATACATCAGGGGGGCCTTCACGTAGCCAATGGACACGTTGACCGGATAATCAACTTGACCCACTTTCATGTTTAGAAGGCGCGTGCCCACCGTCTGGAAGATGCGGGGGTTGGGGCTTGCCGCACTTCCGCGGAAGGCGGTTTCCCTGCAGGTGGTGCACAGTTTGTCCTTGCGGGCCTCCAGATCGTTCCTGCGCCCATCGTGGGTGCTCTCACCCCTCTCACCAGCTTGAAAGCTCTACGCGAAGCTGGCATACCACGCTAGAGAGAACCTCTACATTTCGAAAGTCTAGGATTCGGCAGTGACAAATGAACAGTAGCGACTCAGCAGTGTACTAGTGGAACAATAGTGAACAGAACAAACAGAACACCCTTCCCAACGCAGGCCGAGCGCATGATCTCGTAGAAGTCTCGCTTCCGCACAAACATCTCGCAGGCCTCCTCGCAGCTGTGGGCGACGGCAGCCACGAACGGATGGGGCCGCAACTTCTCCTGAGCCTTAGGCGCTTTTGCCACTGTTGCAGTGCTGTTGCAGTCTGCGGAATGATATCCCTACAAAATACCATGACAGCCTCTAAGTTCTATAGATCTCATGCACCCTCTGAAAGCCAATAGTGAGCGGTCTCGGCTTCCAGACTCAGCTTCCATGTCGGTATTGTAGATAGAAATCCGCCGAAGGAGTACAGGCGGCGGACCCCCTTTTTTCCCTGAAATGGGGTACCTACACCCTCCCCCACCCTCCCCCACCCTCCCCCCCACCCCCACGCTGCCAGCCCCGCCCCCACGCTGCCAGCCCCCCCCCGCTTTTGCTTTAGGAACCTTGAACTCTGAACCCAAAAACCCAAACCCCAAACCGTGAACCTTGAACCCTAAGCCCTCAACCCTAAACTAACCCTCAACCCTAAACCCTAAACCCCAAACCCTAAACCCTCAACCCTAAACCCCAAACCATAAACCCGGAACCCTAAACCCCAAACCCATGGATGCGCTTTGCCGGGCCGAGGGTAGCATCAAAATTAGGCTTCCTTGCTTTCATGCCATTTCCAGGTTTAGGGTTTAGGGTTTAGGGTTTAGGGTTTAGGGTTTACTTCTTACAGACTTCTGAAAAGACTTCACTGTCTCGGCGCCTGCGGGCCTTCGTCCAGCCCCGCCATTGGGCCTGCCCAGGGCTCTTTTAATTTTTGGCATGCTTCGAGGTTGGCTACGACCGTGGCATCGTCATCTTCTTTTTTGGCATTTTCTTACAGCTCTCGAACCTGGGCCTGTCCAAAAACCTTTGAAGGTGCACCATACCACTTAAGCTTGCATGAACCTGTGCTCGTCGCCCGCCAAGTGGCAGACATTGGCGGTGGTCGTGGTCGTTGTCGTTCCGGGGACCGCGGTTGTAGTCCTGGTCGTGGTCGACGTCGGCGCTTTCGTGGAAGTCGTCGTGGAGGTCGTCGTTGACGGAGGCGTGCAAAACGGGAGATAGTCACAACAATTTCCAGCAACGCATGCATCCAACACTCCATCGCAGTCCAAAGTGAAGCACCAAGCAGGCATGCGGCTCTTGGCTTTCGCGTCCAGTTGGAGGAGTGCGGCCTCCTTTGCGGGTGCTCCCCAGCATCAGCACCCCATAACACTTCAGCATCCATGAGTTTCTGAGCAAGAAGCAACACCTTCTTTGAAATATCAAAGGAAGAAGCCTCAACCCTTTCAAGTTCTTCGCCATGGGATGCGATGGTACGAAAGCTTGTGCACATACCAGGAAAAACTTCTTTGCGCCGATGATGGTTGTGTTGATCGCATGCTTAACCATAGCGCCAACAGTAAAAGAGGCCTTCAAGTATAAACACGACGCAAAATGCGAAAACGACGGCTGCTTCTTGCCTCATCGGGGTGTGTGATGAACGTAGTAGGGGAAGGAAGGCCTCTGCTTAACACCTAGTGACATAGCACCTGCCCGAGGCCCCACACATTCCCAACAGATGGGCGCTTCACGCTGGCCCAACGCGTCTGCTTGGACAAGCGGCGCTCGTTCCCGCGCAAGTTGACAGCGCTTCGTCGCCAGCTTGGAGGCTTTCGCCTGCCCAGGGTCCCTCTGGGCGGGTTCTCGGCTCAAAACGGCGACAGTTCTGAGCTCTGGAGGGTACGAGGGTAATCTATACAGTGTACTACAATAGACCCCAAACAGAATGAGCCGAATCAGGTCTGTCGGTAACCCGTGTGGATTTGACAGCCGTAAAAAGGATTTCAACGCTTTCAGGGCTTCCATGTGAAGATGCACGTCGATCATCCCCTCAAACTAAAGTGGGAGCCGAGCCATCCTTATCAGAGAAGGAAGGAGACTTTGCCCAGCAGTTTTTCTGCCGTGGCTCCCGAAGAGGCACTTCAAGGGCCTCATGGACACCTTGGGGGATTTTCTGGGAGCACTCCAGGGCAACTTTGGGGCCTGACTCTGAAAGATCGTTATTGGTAAGTTTGCATGACGAACTTTCAGAGCTCATGGGCCAAAGCACGTTGCAGTAGATATCCGGATCACGGAAACATACGGAAACCTTGCTCGAAGCACTTGACAAAGCAGTGCAGACATGGCTGCATCCCAGCCATGAAGGGAGCCACAGTTCCGGCGGGCCCAAGGACCCACGAAGGGACACCCCACCCAGCCATCGGACCCAGAGCCAGGAAAGAGCCACCATTTTTTTCGCGCTGCGTCCCCTAGCGCCCACAAAGGACCCACAAAGGAGCAAGCCGTTCCTGTTTAGGAGTTTAAGGCTTTGGGTTGTGGAGGCTTTGCAGTTTTCGGACGCACGGCCCGTGTCCGCGTCCCGCAGCCCCGCCTCCAGCGCATCCGCGACAAAAAACTGCAATATGGTGTGAAGACAGTCGTGCTACTTGGCCAGAGCACCGGATTATGTTACGGTTTGGGGTTTAGGGGCATTTTGAGTTTACGACGTTAGGGTAGAAGGCTTGGCCGGCATCATTTACTTGTCAGGTTTAGGGTTTGCCTGCATCAGATTCTTTCGAGGTTTAGGGCTTCCCACCCGTGATCCTCTTTAAGGTCTTGCGCGCTCATACACATGAGCTTCTGCAGCTTTGAAAACCAGAGCTTGTTAGGGTTTTAAGGTGTTAAGATTTCGGGCTTGCCAGCCATCAAATCAACTTTCAGGTTTAGAGCATTGGGCGCAGCATGACGTCATCTTTGTTGGGGGGGCTTCTGGCTTGCCAACAATTGTTGAGATTTAGGCTGCAGGGCTTGCCAGCCAACATCTTCGTGTAGGGTTTTTAGAGCTTGCCGGCCATCATACGTACTAGGCTGAAGGCTTTGCCAGCCATCATGTTCTGTTTAGGGTCTTATGCTTGCCAACCATCATTTTCATGTAGGATGTAGGGTTTGCCAGCCAATTTCTGCTTTTCGGGCATTTAGGCCTCGTGCGGTTCATAGCAACTTCTTTTAGTGTTTAGGCTTTAGGGGTTGTGGAGGGCTTACGGTTTAAGGATTTAAGGTTTGCTAGCCATCGCCTTTTAGGGTTTAGGGCATACCGTCAGTTTTGTTGATTCAAAGAAAAATATCAAAACCATGTTCCTTGCAGGCCTCTACTTAGCGTCTGGTGTCTGCTTTTGGAAGGCTTGGGGTTCCTGCATTGCCTTGCTCTTTTTCTGGGATGCTTCCACCGTTGCTAATTGAGGCTTGTATTTGGGTCGTTACCTTCCCAAATCACAGCACCCGGGAGTAGGGCTTGCCATCATCTTCCTTTTGTTTTTGGGGTTCGCGTGCGCTCAATACCATCATCCACGTAGGCATGGAATGCAAATGTTACGTGAGTTGAGGCTTGAGGGCTTAAGCCAATTGGGTTGCGAAGGGTTTATTGCCCTTGACAGCCCTCATCTTGCTTTAAGGGCTTACAGTCCTATATTGGGGGGCCCATTTGCAAACACAATGCTCGCATGATGGGTTTCAGATTCACGTGCTTTGAAGCAAGCTTGCCCCGCATTTGCAAACACAGTGTTCGCAAGATGGGTTTCACTCACTCGACTCACTCGATTCCGCAGCGGTCTGGTCTGACCTACTAGCTAGCTGTAGTTCATGACATATGTCACGGCCGCTCTGTGGCGGCGGTTAACAGCTTCGGGTATGGACAGCAAGAGACGTCCTGCAGGAACCGGAGTTCAACTAGACTGCAGGCAAAACGGTCTCAAGCGCAACAGAGCCTACCTGGACCTACCGTAAACAGGAAAGAAACGTGCACTCACAAGCTCAAATATACAGTGTATGTACAGGAGATACTATACTACGGCCGGTCTCACAGTTCGCTCACTCACAGGGCTAAACAGTGTGGGCACGCATGTGCCGCAAATGTCCGGGGCCGATGAAAGAACGGCACCCCCGTGCTGATGGAACAACGCATGGCTGCATGTGGTGGCATGGTTGAATAAAAGGACTCGGTACACCAAAGAAGAAGAGCAAAAACACTCTGGGAGAGTATAGCCATCTCATTTTCTCATCGCTCAAACTCCGTAGTTGGGCGATCTGGGCATGAGATGCTGGTATCATGGCGCTGTGGCCGAAAGGTCGGCTTCACATGTGCCTTCCCTGTACATAAGAACAGAGACAAAAGGCTCAGACAGGGTTGCTAGCCTGTCCCCCCCGTGCACCCGAGAGGGGGTGCACCCCCGCTTCTGTGAGAAAAATAAGCTCTCATCGTCAAACCAATCCGCCTTCCCCAGCAGGGGGCCTGCGGATACAGCCAAGCACATAACAGTTGGACTGGATTTCTGGACTTATGGTTTCAAGCCTTTCCGATGTGACACCGTCGTCCATGTACCAGGCATCTGTCCTGCCCGGTATCAAGCCAACAGTTCTGTAGTGCCCCGTGAGAACTGTTTCTCCAAGATGCACGATGATGGAAATAAGGTCATAGGCAAGCCAATCACACGCTATGCTGCTTTCATTTCTGAAGATCGGTAGGTGGACGCAGCGATTGTTGAATGTGATAGGTACACGGGTCTTCCTTGTGACACCGTTGTTCGTGGTATATCTAGGCAGGACAAGGAAAATGTGAGTCGGGGCTGTGCACAGCGCATGCGGCTGGGCCTGCAGGTGCCAGTTAAAGGATAAGGGCATCCAGCTCCCCGTCTTGGATACCTCCAGGTGCTGCCAGAAGCAGCAGTGGTGCAGCAGTCTCTCTGATTTCAGTAGTACACCCCTCCTCAACCGCCACTCTAGCCTCCCAGTGAACGAGACTATCAGTCCAAGCCAGCTTAGGGATGATGAACTGTATGAATTCACTCACGTCATGCTGTCTGTTGGGCTGCGCCCAGCCTAACATGTACATGCGGAGAAACATCGCTGCATCCCAGTGCGTTTTAGCAAGTGCCTTCTGCCAAGCATCAGGTAAAAGGCTCCCCGGCCTGAGTTGTGCTTGCCACAGGGTGGCAGTTATGACGGAGTTAATGTAGCATGTGTTGCCGCTATTCTTAAGCTTGAGGCGAGAGACACTCGGCTCAGATGTTTTCCAGGGCCTTTTGCAGTGCCATTGCCAGGCCGTGGCGTTGCTGGTTTGGCGGCTGCAGTTGCGCCCCCACCACATTCCAAACCGCGCAGTTGGCCAACTGTCGCAGTTTCTGATGCAGGATGTCTGCTCTCGGGTCTCTCATGGCTACTTCGATGAGGAACACTGCTTTGTCGCCTTCCTGGGGCTCTTGCTTGGGACGCCTTTGGGCGCAGAACCTGGTGACCAGATCCGGCAGACATAGCTCGGCGACCTGGTTGATGAGCTCCGTCGCCTCTTCCACCTTCAGGCTCTTGGCTGTCGCCGACGGCTCCACCTTTTTGGTGGCCGAGTTCCACTCCTGATACACGAAGCGCTTCTGCTGGTCGAGCCACTGGTGCTTCATCGCATTCTCCACAGCCGTGGGATCGCCTACCATCAGTTGGACTCTTGCCACGACCTCTTTCAGCAGGAGGCCCAGCGCGACGATTCTCATCGGGGGGACGTTCTCTCCTTTCTTCTATTTTTGTTGCCATTCCTGCCCCGCCTTGAAAAGCGGCAGCAATATAGTTCCTGGGCCTTGTTGCTGGAGGTGAAAGGTGAAGGATGTGTCCAGTGTGTCCAGGCGTAGACGGTTCAGGGCGTCCTCCTGCTGCAACGACAGATTTGCCAGGAGCGTCACCACCGAGTTCAGGTTCTCGTCTGCAATTTGCCGCCGGCCTCCCCGCTGTCCTCGCCGGGCCGCTTTGGGTCGCTTGTTCGGTGCGTTCTCTGTCTCCCGGTCCATGTCTCTCGGCTGTTTCGAGGTCTCTCTCATGTTCGTCGCTAGCCCCGGTAGTAGGCTGCCGAAGACGCTCACCACCTCCGTCGTCATGTTCACAGTGTAGTCCTATCAGGGCACATTGGAAGATCACATTACATTGGAAGTAATGTCTGGAGGGGGAGGACCTGTCGCACCAAGGGCAGGTGCCATTTCTGAGGAGACGGGGCTTGACCTGCGCACATCTCTCCTCAAGTTTGCCGTTGGCGGTGACTGCCCACACGTCCTTGTGGGCCCTAACTATGTGTCTCTTCAGAGCCGTAGGATCTGCGATCCATCGCTTGCAGACACAGCAGTGTTGCTTGAGTGACGACACAACAGCAGCATCCAGCAGACTTTTCCAGCCTTGTTGCCGAGCAGCATCAAGAACCGGCTTTTGGGCTATGGGAGGCGGCTCATTTGCAGTGGTCGCCTCTGGAGCTTTTGGATTGGTGTTGGTATCTGCTTCGGGGCCGAACGCGGCTCCCTAGTACTTTTTTCCGGGTAAAGAACAGGGCAGTATCCTTTTTCAATATGTGCTTTGAGCCCAATCCATGCCCCGTATTTGAATTTACAAAAGGCGCACTGTGGCAGACCATTCAGGGCATGGTTTGCCGGATCAAAATGGAGCAGCTCTGGCTTAGCCTCTGGGTGCTTCCATGCCTTATGCTGCCGAAGGCTAGTGATGGTGCGAAATTGCAGACTGCAATGCGGACAGGTATAAGGGTCTGACTCCTTATCGTCAGGAAGCTGCTCCCCTGCACTCACTGATTGGAGTGAGTTGATAGCCAGCGCGAGCTGCGCCCGGACCTTTGGAAGGGCCCTTATGTCGCTGGGGCACTCTGCTGCAACTATCTCAAGCGCGTCGTGCATCCTCTGGCCTTGTTGAGCGAGTGCTTGCAGGGGATCCTCAGCATTAAGATGCTTCTGGATCTGCTCATTTGTCACCAGGGTTAGATGCGCTGGCTTTTTGGCGATAGCGCGCATCTGTCTGGCAGCCATTGCACGTAGATGCTTGCGTCCCGTGGGTCTAACGCCCACCGCCAGCAGCCCGTGCGCAGCTGAGCTCCAGACCCCGGCTCTCCAGATTTGATACCTGGGGCGGTTGTGCGTAACACGTCTGGAGTTGATGGCCTTACGAAGCTGGCTGTATTGACCCCTTGCTTTACGCATGCGTAGCTGAACAGTTTTCTCCTGGGCATCTCGGTAGGAAATGACGGTTCCTAGGTACTGATGCGTTTTCTTAAGGGGGATCAGAATCTGCTCGCCGTGTTGCATAAATGCAAGGTGCGGGAGTTTGTCTTTGAAGACCTTAAGTTTCTGTAAGATTCTAATCGCGTCTGCCCCCTTGGCGTGACACAGCACGACTGATTTGGTTGCGCTGAGAGTCATACCATGGTCGTTAAAAGTTTGCACGACTTTTTGGATGCCAACGATGGCACCCTGAAGGTCTTCGGCGCTTTTTAACGTCCAGGCTGCTAAGGCGTCGTCGGCGTAGAAAGTAAACAGCTGCGTAACCCAGTCCCAGCTAAGGCGTTCCGCCAGTGTATCTATGATCGCAATTGTGTGTGCCACAAACAAATACGGCGCGACGGTACAGCCTTGTTTGATGCCTCGTGTGGTCGTGACATAGTCCTCATGAGCGCCAACTGAGCAGTGATACCTGGCCTCAAAATGGAACTGCATGAGGAGTTGAACCAGCGTTTCGGAGACCCCGAGGCGTCGCAGGCTAGTGGCAAGAGCAGTGCGAGGGACGTTGTCGAACGCCCCCTCAAGGTCGAGGGAAAAGCAGATGCCACCTGCGCATTTAACTTGCGAAGCTCCGGCGTGGAGGTCATAGATACTTTGCCTGCTCATGGTCGCATAAGCTCGAGCCTCTCTCAGGTGGTTGTGCACTCTCAGTAGGGCGTCTAGGACTCCCCTACCGGCAGTGTATGCAAATTGCGGTCGAGTGACCAGCGCTTCCTCGAGAAGTGGTCGGATGTGTTCTCTCAGCAGAGCACATATCGATTTCGAGAGAGGGTGGGAGAGCCCGATTGGGCGAAGCCCGGACGGGCGGCTGGGGTCTTTCTGTGGTTTAGGTAACCATACGAGGTATGTGTCTTTCCACACGTGTGGGATGACGCAGAGGGACGCAAGATGGGTTTCAAAAGGATTCATACGCTTTGATGCAAGTTTGCACAGATTAAAGAAGTGGGGGGGCGCATAAGAAGACTAAGCATAAAAGAAGCAGAATCGTAAGAAGAAGAACAATGAGAAGAATAATACGAATAAGAAGAACAATAAGAACAATAAGAACAATGAGAATAATAGTGAGAATAGGAATGAATAACAGCAAGAAAATAATGACAATAATAATATCCGCCGACCCGAGCTTTGAGCGGGGGAGGCGCTAGTGAAGACCCATAGTCTTGCCGCTCTCTCCGCCACTCCGCCCGCTCCGCCCGTTCCATTGCATGGCCCCCATGCCTCCATGCCCTCGACCCCGGCTCCAGCTCATGGCCCCAGGATCCCACATGGCTGCCACCACCCACACCTCATGGATGTTTTGGCATTCTTTTAGGGGCTCCAGCTCATGGCCCCATGTCTCCATGGCTGCCACCACCCACACACCGTGTCGCCCCCCCCGCCCCCCCCCGCCCCCCCCCGCTCCCCCCGCCCTTCCCTGTTAGAATGGAGTGTTTTTAAGGGCTCCAGTGCATGCCCGAGCCCTCCCTTCGCT